CGGATCAGCCCAGAATGCCAAACATTAAGATATTTTCTGGCAGTTCGCATCCGGATCTGTCGCAGAAGATCGCGGACCGACTGGGACTTGAACTGGGGAAAGTGGTCACTAAAAAATTCAGCAATCAGGAAACCTGGTGAGTTATTTAGAGTCAGAATTGCATGCTTTCCCGGAATGTTTTGGCTAGGGTACACGAAATGGTAAACACATGGTAACCATGTTTTTTTTTAGTTTGTAGTTTTATGAATTGGAAGGTGTCATCTGGCGCAATGAGCCTCATACAGGCAGCAGACTCAATTTCCCAGCATCCACCTGCATTAAGCATGTGACTCTGGGGCCGCTAATGCTAATTTTAAACGTCCTGTCTGGCCTCCTCTGCCACGAATGCTATTAAATGTACTCTCGTGAAGTGCTGCTGCGTTATTATTATTTGTAGTTATTTTTAATAGTAGTAGTTATACTTCTGTGCGTATAAGACGTAACAAAAAGGAAGGAATATGCGGGTACACAGCCACTTTCATGTTTTGAGATGAAAAAATTATGTTGGCCCTGGTGTCTGTGTTTATATAATTGACATTTAACTCAAGTTGAGTGGAAGGCTTGTGACCTTAAAAGATAAAATGTGTCTCTCACTCTTTATCTGCAGCTGATATGTGATAAATGCAGCCAAGTTCTTGAGGCAATAGTTTCAGTTTGCTTTTCAATGGTTAACACAATCTGATCCCCAGTGGTGACCATATTAAATATCAGCTCAAATCAGATACACCCCTCTAATCAGGCAGACAAGTATAGATTTATAGTGCACTATATTTAGTGACTGAGACTCAACCTTGTTTATGTGTGGTTTTGTCTGTTCGTCTGTGTGTGTGTAGTGTAGAGATAGGAGAGAGTGTGCGTGGAGAAGATGTCTATATTGTCCAGAGTGGCTGTGGCGAAATAAACGACAATCTTATGGAGCTGCTGATCATGATCAATGCCTGTAAGATTGCATCAGCGTCCAGAGTCACGGCGGTTATTCCTTGTTTCCCCTACGCTCGGCAGGACAAGAAGGACAAGGTGGGGGTGAGAGGAACAGCTTGCCTTTTAACATGTACACACAGTTAATCATACATTAACCACATCACTGTTGGTGTATCCATGTGGGCTACTTTCTGTAAGTCTTTCTTCTGTGGTATCAGTTTGTGTTTTCTGGCCCCTTGGCTACTTACAAGGCATGGCTTATTATGCTTGCTTAGCCCTTCTCTATTGTCCTGTTAATGTGTATCTGGTTAGTAGTTGTGATGCTACCTGTTCATGAGCGAGTATTTTGTCTGTAGAGTCGGGCTCCAATCTCAGCCAAGCTTGTCGCCAACATGCTGTCTGTAGCCGGAGCAGACCACATCATCACCATGGACCTACATGCATCTCAAATTCAGGTACACACTGGGCTTCGCCTTTCCTCCAAACACGCTCAAAACGCCCTTATCTCACGAACTGAGATGACTGGCATAACCCTACAGTTAGGCCTGAATAAAACTGGGTGGGCCTTAAATTTCTTCAGCATTTTATAGTTATGAGACTTGGACAGTGGCGTTTTTTTAATGGTATGATTTCGAGTGAATGTGTTTTATCTGTTTTTTGTTTTTAGGGGTTCTTTGACATCCCAGTTGATAACTTGTACGCTGAGCCGGCAGTCCTCAAATGGATAAAAGAAAATATCAATGAATGGAAGAATTGCACCATTGTTTCTCCTGATGCTGGTGGAGCCAAGAGGTGTGCTTTCTTTCCTTTTCTGTTTTGCAAAACACTGGGTCTCGTTCACTAGCCGTACATACACACAAATGTGAA